TAGGCTTTTTTCATTAGCATTTTTGCCTTTGAATTTTGTTCTACAAATTAGGCTAAACAGCGATTAATGAACAAGTTGTGGCCTACGTTTTAATAATGATTTCGTTAATTTCCTTGAAAATGCATTGTGTGTCTTGTTCATATTTTTGGATTCTAAGACAATAACAACACTAAATAGCTACCTGTTTCTTTTAACCGTGACAGTTTACCAATATTTTTACAATTCTTTAATTTTTGCTTAAAAATGCCTGATGAAAATAAGATGAAATAGAAATCACCGTAATAATGACGGTAGTCCTAAGTTTATAGATATCGGTAGATATAACTCATCTCAATAATATAAAGATGACGTATAAACTGCGCTGACAAACCTATCCCCCCTTACAAAACACTCGTTCAATCAGAAAGCGAAACTTGAAGGAAAATAATGAGTTGACAAATCTGATTTCATCTATTCAAACGACACTTGATATATTGTCCTCGCAACTTGAATCTCTTTACTAAAAACAATGAAACAATGATCACATCCATCCTTTCGAGTGTTATCTTATATCCAGTGTCAAGTTGTTTCTCAGTATTCTTTTTATCTATTAAAATGCGTTGCGGGCTGATATAATCATTAATCGGAATAAACACTTTAATGTGAATAGAATAAGGAAAATATCACATCACAAGGATAGTACGGACACTCCAACTAACAGTATATAATTAAAAGGCGGCTGTTTTGTGAAAAGGTGTGTGCTTAAGGCACTTGAAGTTGTTAGAATCTTCTCTTGTTTTATACAAAATTAAGAAATTAATTAATAAATAGACCGAAATGTTTTTTCTTGTTGTTAATGGCTGTTAAATTGATTGATTGAAAATATCAGTTTTTGGTACAGGTGGCTCTGAGTAAAATTGAGTAATTCTAACTAAATGGCCTAACTTCAGTACTAGTAAAATTGCAGCTACGTGATAAATGACACCGTCAAATATAATAATGAGAGAAAAAAATCATAAAATGTAATATCATAATTTGCCTGTAATTACATCATAAAACATAACTTAATGATATAGGTAAACCAGAATGTCACAAGGTGCATGCTTATTTTCATTACAATTTCGGGAAAAATATTTAAAAAATTTAAAAATAAAATATTGGAAAGTGAACAAACGGCACTTACAATCAACATAAATTACCTAAAAGAGGTCACACTGTACAAAAAGCCTCTACTACATTAATCAAACAGTGAAATTGTGGTGATAAGCCCGGATTTTCATTTGGTGAGATAACATCCATAACACTCATAGTGTTGTTAACATAGCTTTGTCGAATGTTTTTGTGACCGACGTATAAATCTATAATTCCGTTTATTTCCTTGAAAACGTATTGTGTATCTAAAATAATAACAAATAGACTGCAATGATAACTCTAACCTGTAACTTATTTTGTATTAAGCAATCTACGCGTAGCCGTTAAATGTCTGATGACAAATTTCTTTACATTTACTCACGCCCCCTAGCACCGGCTTCATCGTCCTCAATTTTCAAGAATTCAAAATGTTGGAATAAATGGTCCCGAAGGAACAGAAATATATACCGGCACTGAAAATACAGTACCGAAATATATATGTATAAACATATCCAGTATGGCGGCACGTCCAATATGGTTTCGCCCTTGTCCAAATGTATTCCCATATTGTACATTTAAATTATTACCTAGAATAATTTACAGAACAAGGAAAAGATCAAAGAGCCTAGTTTAAATAAACTCTTTGATCTCATATATATATATAGTTTAAATAAACTCTTTGATCTCATATATATATATATGAGATCAAAGAGTTTATTTAAACTATATATATAACATATAATATAGGAGATAAATTAGATGGTCACAGTACAATATCGACTTAAGCGATTACAATAAAGTGTTAGTATATGATACATGTCAGTACGCATTCGTTACATTGCCATACATTGTGTGAAATACGGACAATCCAACCATACATAATTGCTATATGAATAATAAAGTTTATCATAACAGTTAATTGTATGTATATACTTGTATGATATATTTGTATGTGTATCAATTTCCCTTGATCACTGGTATGTTATTATTATATTCCGTGTGATGCTGTTTTCAACATACATATATATACATATATAGATGATATATGGAATTGCATGTTATTATGCATTGTGATTAAAAATAAAAAAAAAAACATAATCCAGAAGAAGAAGCGAGATTTTAAAAGTGTATGTATAAGTTAGATGCCGTAATGACCTAAAATAAGTAAATAATTCTGATTAAATAGCAAATAACTCAGAATTGAGATCGGCGATACCCAACCTTTTTCGCTCAAACTATTTTTGTATTTCTGTCACATTAACAACATGCCATGTTTAAAGAAATTCTATTGGACAGTTTTAATTCTGCATGTATGTCTTTACGGAATCTCTCGAAAACGTTTTCAAATAATATTAGCTCCTAAATAACGATACATATTAACATTAAGAAGATCTGAACTTCAGACAGATTGAATCCTGACACGTCAATAGGAATATAATTGATAAACACTTGTAAAACTATATTGAGAAAAAAGTAATTTTCAAGGCGTCATTTGGTTTATTGACGTCACATCTTATGTAAAATGATTCATTTTAAAGTCTAACATAAATCGTATACGTAACAATGCGTATCAACTGTCCGGAATAGAATTACCACTCTAACACTATCAGATGTTTTTCCTATATAAGCAAAGAAGGCCAGAAACTTGCCTTATTCTAAGAAAATGGAATTGCCTCCCTACGTATCTGCAAAACCGAAACATTGACAGCGCAGTTGTGTTTAAAAAAAGTAATATATAAAAACAACTCTGTTGTTGAATTTTGCTCTGCAACTATCTAGAATGATAAAAAAATGTCTTAAAAAATAAATCCGAAAACAAATATCTGTAATTCAGTCATTAACGATGCACATACGTTTGACGTCACAATGTAGGGCAAATCTGTCAAAAAACTATGCTATTTCAATGTTGCAAAACTGTAGTATATAACTTAAATTTCTCTATAAATATAAAAAAATAAAATAAGCACAAAATTTCTTTATTAACATTTTTAAAATTGTTCTTCAAATGTTAATTTTTGGAAACGGTAGATTTGATGACGGCATTGAAGCGTCTTTAAAGAACGTTGCAATTTGGAACTCGGAGGCAAAAACAAATTTAACCACACAAAGGGCACAGCTTTATAGTAAAGTATATTTTCCTTGAAATCCTAGAATGGAAATAGATCTTGATTTTGATATAATTATATAAAAATAATATCAGTAAAAAAGACTATTATTTTTTGTATGTGTTTATTAATTTCATCGGTGGGGAGAGCACATTGCAAGAACAGTTGTATTACGTCATAATTTCAAGTTTGCTTCAGAGAACATGTATTACTCTGTGCTTTATCATATTATTTTAGTTACAGTACAACTCATTGCATTTAATCATGCAACTGCTGCTATGGTAACTGCCCGATAATTATTTTTGATATCAGGTTAAAAACCTGATTTCAAAATTAAACCCGGGCCAATTCAACAAACTTTTTCTAATGGCTAAGTTTTCTCATTTTTAACACCCTTAGATCTACAAGTCTCAAATCAAGATGTGATTTTTGATATTTTTATTTCGTTTTCAACTACGAACAAATCAGATAGCGAAAATTTAAGCATAAAGTGACGTCATAATTTATTTCAGAAATGACATAATGAATGTCCACATCATAAAAACAGGATAGACGATTTTGAGAACTTTTTTGAGAACTTGTAACTTGTGTTTGATTGGCGCCAGGAATTTGACTTTCCTTTGATTGAAAATAAAATTATGGCGAACTTTTGATTTTGTCATTTCAAGGAAAATTTGCTTTTTAAACGTAGATTATTTTGTTATTTTGACAGTATTTATGTATTGCATGGTGAATAAAACTGTCTTTTGATATCAATTTTATCAGGCGATTCTGATTACAAAGTCAGTGTCATTTAATATAATCAATACGTTTTTTTCTTGAAAAGGCTTAATTAAGAATAGTGCAATAAACCTTTAAAGCAGCAGACCTCCAGAAGATAACATAAAAACAACCGTCTTACTAATATTTGAAAATCCTTTCTCAAATAGATTTGATCATTGAAAGAAGCCGAAACGACACTTAAAATATTAATATTGCAATTTTGTTTTATCTCAAAACAATCAGTTGGCTTTTCCAACAACAGGAAATACAGGAAAATATCGCAACCTGTCATCCGGAACTCACTGAATCCGGGATTGTATCAAACACTGGGGGAAACGAATAAACTGCTTTGTTTTTGATATTTGTAGTAATTTGTGGCACTAAAAATTGAATAGTTATATTATATATAATTATGTTAAGCAATATATCGATTTAAACTTTATATGATTGACGAAAATTGATAAACTACCCCGGTTGTCCCAGATACGAATAATTGTTGTGACACGTGACCCTGTTGAATTAATTATCTTCTCCTATTTATATAGGCTACTGCGTTAGTAACGTAGTAGATAACGCAAGGAAGAAACACGAAATAGTGTAGCTTTTGGCAACATTTTGTCTTAAATTAAGATGTCAGTAATTATGGATTTACACATAAAATATAACTTGATCAGTATTTACCTTTTATTTGTAATTGTATTTCATTTTCTTTTTGATTTTACTATCTGGAGGTCCGTGGCTATATACGTGTTAACAGACAACTGCAGAGACAAAGTACTTGTTTAATCTTGATCATTGCTATAGCTACGTGCCATATAACACGTGTATACGTCTATTGTTAGTGTTCTCAAGTGGGAGTTTCAAACAGGAAGAGAAAATAAGTAAATCAATATAAAATTGAGAACTCTTAATTGTCTTATTCATTTCAAGCCAATAAAAGATTGATAGGCATGTTAAATTTATAATCGAAAGTTTAAATGTATTTATTAACAGTTTTCTTTTGTGTTGTAATACAATAATTAAATGGCGAATCAAGTAAGTGGAAAAAGAAAACCAAAGGAAAAAATTAAACAATCTACATCGCAAAAGAAAGGAATACAAAGCTCCGTGGCGTCTGTTTATTTCAGCTCTGAGGAGGTAACGTTATGTGACAAGAAATCTTCCATTTCTAAAATGAGGGTTACAGAAGATATGACCTACGGAATAAAAAAGGATAAAGAGTATTCTTTCATCCAAGATATCAACGTTAAATCAGATACTGATGTTAAGGACTGCTTTATTACAGGCATGACGTTGGTTTTAGACAATCAGCTTGTCCTATGTGATGCTAACAATCTATGCTTAAAACTTTTTGATATCAATAAGAATATAATCAAAGATGTTTTACCATTACAATCCATACCATTTGGAATAACAACGGTATCAAATGACCAGATAGCTGTTGTATTACAAAGCTTTTACCAGATACAGCTTGTGAATGTACGTGCAAAACTGACACAAGATCGTTCAATAAAAACGAATGGTTATTGTTTAGATGTAAAGATGATCAACGATCAATTATATGTTTCATATAAAGAACCTGTCAAATTTCAGATAATACAACTGACAGGGGAAATTGTCAGGACGATCAAACCTGATGATGAGTTACGCAAACATTGTAAATTACCTCGTCATATTGCCGTGAGTCATGATGAAAGTGTGATCTATGTATCCGACTGGTATACAAACAAAGTTATGTCGCTTGATATGAATGGTAACATGTTATCATTGTTTCAAGGTAAGCTACAAGTACCGCAAGGTATTTTCATCTCTCCGTCTGAATCAGTGTACGTCTGTAACAAAGAGCAGCACACAGTGTACGAGATAATGTCAGACCTACGTAAAACTATGGTGATACTAGGACCAGGAGATGGATTATACTTCCCGAAAGCAATGTGTTTCAATAAGATAAATCAACATCTGTATATCAGCAGTAGAAGCCCTGTGGCAAAATATAGAAATATTCTAAAAGTTTATAGATACTAAGAAATAGCTCGCTTACACACTTGTCTTTTATTGTGTAAGCAGTTAAATAAAATTTTAAAGAAAAATGGAATCAATAACTGTCAAACATAGTCGACAGAATTATTTATATTGGAAATAATAAAAAAATCAAATAAACTTTCTTTACATTAGTATTGATAGAATAAGTTATATCGGAAATTTAAAACAGGTTTCATTATTATGATGATATATGTGATGAAAATATCAATGGTTGCAGTTGGCTGATTGGATAATTTTATAGATTGTTTTGTTGCGTTTGAAGTCACAAGGATACAGTAATGTTTATATGCCGACTTTTATGCTTAATTGAGGACCTCGAGTGCCCTTCCGTGCGTTATTTAAGATACCAGCGAACATCTCAGTAGAACTACTGACGTTTATTAAGCCAGCTGGATAGCTTACCAATATGAAATAATTAAATGTTCATGAAGGGACTTGAGTCAGGAATTTGAAGTTACAGCGATAAATGGCATATGGGTGTAAGACAATGACCTTTACCACTTGGCCATAGGTGCCCCTCAACAAAAGATAGCATATAAGATAGTACAAATGTATATAAAGTTTGATCCATTGTTTAAAGTCAAAATGATAACTTAGATCAAGGCAAAAATATTTAACTGTTAAGTCAAAACATTCGTATTATGGACATTGACTTGACTACATTACCAAATTACTATAAAAAACCATATCTTAATCACCTTTTGGTTGTTTTGAATTAATTTTATCATTTTTCTTAACTAAAAAGAACAAGTTTAGCATATTAATAGTTTTTCTTTTAAGTGTCAATAACTTAAACTACATACAAATAATGAATTTATGTATTTTCAAATAAATTACGTTTTGAAACTAGTATCATGAAAATCACATACATGATATTCACTTTGTTGGTTGTTTTGTTTGTTTGGTTGATTGTTTTATTTTGCTTGGTGTTTTTTTTCTGATCAAATGATAGTTAATCTGTACTTTCAAGCTCTGTCAATAGCTAAAACTGATAAATCTTTAAGCTTAATAGATTAAATGTAAATAATGAATTTATGCATTTTCAAAAAAAATTACACACACATATATATACTAATATCATAATAAAATAAGAATCATATATTCATTTTGTTTGTTTGTTTGTTCTAAATTGAAATCAAGGCGCGAAAATGTCAAGGCCCCGTGTTTTAAAAATCCTGATTTTTATTTATCTTAATACTGTTAAATAAATGATTGCATATTGTACATTTTATATACATTACAATATTATATGTTCTGCTCTTTTTAACTAGAGGAAATAAAACAAATAATCGTATGATGCTAAAAATTAATAGTACATAACCAAATTAAATGTAAAAAAATGGGTCAAAGACAGAAAAAGTCGAACTGCATTTATATACTTATTATTATGAGGCTGTGATGTTACGAAAATGTTCTACCATTGACCATTTATGTTGAAAATTTAACTAAGTCGGTAAACAGCAAGTGGGTAAGCGACATGCCTGAAATCGAATCCTACCTTATGGTACCACATGTTCACGAGGTAGGAAGCGTACTTATCAAAGTTTAATTAAGCACCTCAAACTCCCTATTTGAAGGTAAAAAATGACCATTTTTCACATGAGTTCTTCAAGCATACAAAAAGTTTTCCACAGAAATCCGTAACATTTTCCAGGAACTCCGTGACAGTTATCATAAGAACTACAAACAAGTTATCATAAGAACTCTATCCTTCGTGTAACACTTCCTCCCCCGTGATGTTATTGTTGTATACCAAATGTCTTGAAGCTGTGATAAGTAGACGCTGAAAAAACTGTTACGAAAATGGTTTCCACACCGTCCGCCTCCAGCAGCCCGACATTCATCATACTATAATCGTGTTTGCAACTGTGCAACCCGGCCAAAAATACTTATTTTCCAATAATCAACCTATTTTTGGGATAAAACCCAGAACAAAAAAAAAAACAACAAAAAAACACAAAAATTAAAGGATCAATTTTAGATTCAAAGTCAATATTTGGATAAACTGTTAAATGCCCATTTCTTCCAATGTCATTTATAGTTTATTGAAACATTTACAAACATGCGTTTAAAAAAAAGAAGAGAAAAACAGAATTCCTAAAGAAAGCACAACATGGCAAAATTGAAATTGTTGCAGACTCGGTTTGGTTGAGGCTGTTTACGGACGGTAGTGGTAATTGCAAGATACCGTACACACTCTTAGCACCGACTTAAGTAGTATTCAACATTTAACATGAACTTGAAAAAAATTAATATCGATATAAATATGTGACACGTAAATGCTTTCCATCTAAAGCGGCATATGGTCCCCAATTTAAGTGAAACAAAAGGGCCAAGATTACCCAAAACATCCGATCAAAATCCGAGCAATTTCTAAGACAAGCATCTTGGCCAATTTTTTGATGATAATTGAGTCAAAAATGTGACCTCTAGAGTGTTTTTCAATGAGTGAAATAGTTTTTGACCCAAGGTGACTCATATTAAAACTTGACCTTTAAATCATCAAAACAAACTTGCAGACCAATTTCCAGGAACTTTGGATAACAACAGTAGCCACTACAGAGTGCATAATATTTTTCTATTTTTAGCTCCTGTGACCTAGATTTTCATCAGAGATAACCCATATTTAAAATCATATTTAACTGCACATGCTGACCAAGATTGATGACATTTGAGACAAAAATGTAACTTTTAGAGTGTTAACAAAGTTTTCCAAATTTTGGCGGTGTGGCCCAGGTTATCCATATTTGAGCTTGACCAAGAAATCATCAAAACAAACTTTCAGACCAATTTCCAGGATATTTGGATAAAAACAGAAGCCACTAGAGTGTTAACAAGATTTTTCAATTTTAGATCAATTTCCAGAATATTTGTATAACTGCAGTCACTAGATTGTTAACAAGATGTTTCTATTTTAAGCCTAGTTATTGACCCGAGACGATTCATGTTCAAACTTGAACTAGAAATCATCGAAACAACTTTTTGCTTATCAAATTCCAGGATATTTGGATCAAACTATAGCCACTAGAGTGTTAAACAAAATAAGATAAAATGTCGAGGTAACAGCTCTTTCCTATCTCATCACGTATTATCGTGAAGTAAGATAGCTTTTCATCATATTTGACAATAACATCAACTTGTGATAGTACTCATATGCAATTTACATGCAATTAGCGACGATTTGTATGAATAGAACATCAATACAGTACGAAACATAATTTAGAACAAATACAAAGAACCAGTATTTTTATGTGAGTTTAGACACAAGTCGCCATCGCATTCACCCAAGTGAAAACAGGTAAAAGAGATAATATACATAAAAATAAAGGCACGTACCGTTTGACATATTCAAAAATATAGAATTGAATATACAACTTACAAAAATAACAGAAAGTCACTACTACCCTTATCAATTAGTCCAAATGCCATTTTAACGGTCTTTGCACCTCCGTTTAAAGAAACCGAATATCCATACAAACCAGACAGTTACGCATCTTATAAAATTGTTACACCTTTAAAAGTCCGGCATGAATAATAATACCATTAGAGATTGCAGCACGGAAATATCTGTTTAAACTCAAGAGATTATCTTTGTCCAGTACCTTTACGCTACAGAAATAACTGACGATTTATGTGAAGTCCAACATATTCAATATAACTAGATAATGACAGAAGCAAAATTACGTCCTTAAGGAAACACATTGTCAGAGTCTTTGATAGTTGTAATGAATAAAATCTGAACTTATAATGTGTTACATAAACGGCAAGAATGAAATACGTAATGTCACTAAACACCACAACTTGCCAGTACTACCGGACGATCACTTAAGGACTAACATAGATTGCAACAACTGAAGATTAGATGTAAAATCATCAAACGTACATCATCTTACCATGCCCAACATACTAACAACTCACACACAATCATTTCATTCTCCAAAAATATTTATCTTGGCTTATAGTACAAAAATTATTGCAAGGTGAGAGAGCAAATGTAAAAAGCTTGGCAAAGGGAGTCCCGACGGTACTGGAAATTGCAAGATACCGTCCACATCCCCAAGCTCCGCTGTAGTAGAAGTTAACATTTAACATGAACTGATAAAATTTAAAAATTCAAAACATCGGCAAATGTGTAAATATGGCGGGCATCATGGAAATTTCAATGTGACACGTGCCAGTCATTGAAAGTGGCATATTGATGCTAATGAAAAAATGCGTTTGCCCTAAATGAGAAAACAATAGGAGAAACTGTATAAAATGGCCTTTAAAAAGCCTTTCAACATAACCGTTAAGTGTTTAAACAGTAAACATGTGATGAATTCTGGAACAACCCGACAAGAAAAGAAAAAAAAGCAAACAAAGCAATCAAACAAATTAACAAACTGTTATGTAAATTAAAGTGAAAATTACAGACTCGGTTTGAGTCAAGCTATGAGAGATCATTGAAAGTTTAACATTTTTCACATCCACATGTATACGTATATAATGTGATTTGCTGTAAACTGATTTACTGATAAATTAAGCTTGCTGATAATTGGCATCAATTAAGATGTTCATGTATTTTTCATATAATAAATTAAAATTTTAAAACATTGTGTGAGTTTAGCCAAAAATGTTATCAATGATACGTTGTTTTCCCTTTAACCTATTTGCAAGTTTTAAAAAGAAAAGTGCATCTGTTTAAAGGGTCGTTTAACCCAATAAAAACAGAAAAATTTCACCCTTCATAGTTTGTTTAAAACACCCGTAAAACATCAAAACAACATACCCTAGCAAACTTTACCCGTGATTTTTTTTATTACACATGGGAAATTTTTTCAGTGATCTAGTTTTAATGTTAAGTTAAGAAGTAAATATATTGAAAGAAAAAAGTACAACCATAAAACCTCACCCTGCTGGTATAGTAGACGTTTTGAAATAAGGTTGTGCTGTATAAACACTGCATGTATTGTATAAAAGCATCTCACAAGAGATTATGTTTT